GAAGGAAGGAAGGAAGGAAGGAAGGAAGGAAGGAAGGAAGGAAGGAAGGAAGGATCTCTCCCAGAGATCTGTGTGGTTCCCACCTTTATGTCATTCAGGAAACTATTGGCCTTGGGAACAGAGTGATTATGAAACCCCCTTTTTGTCCTTTGCTTATTTTGTTTTGATTTTTTGATTACTTTGCTCTTCTGATTGGTTGTATCTTTTGTATGCTTATATATGACATTGACTTGATAGCACATAATCAAAAATATGAGCTGAACCAGAGAAAGGAGCGAAGATGGAGTTCCTTCCTTGCTCTTTCTCCTTCTAATGCTCCTAATGATCAAAATATTAAGAAGTACAAAGTGTTGACAGTTTTGGATCTTTACGTCAAATATGCTTAACACAGCTATTTAGCTTGTAATTGTTTAAAAGCATGGATAATCATGCCACTGAATTTTGACAGTGTGATCTTGTGGGGGCCCAAGACTGATAATCCTGCCTTATTTTAAGCCCTTAATTCTTCCCCTAGTCATTTTGGAAAATTTAAAAATAAAAATTTGATCTAAATAATGGGCAGGCAGCAACCCAGATGAATACTTCTGAATCCTCCAGTAGCGGCTAGTGTTCCTTAAAAAGCTAGTAAAAAGAAATACAGGTCATAACTTTATTTTTACAACATCTGCCAGGAAGGTAAGCTTACAAATATTTTGAATGTCAGCCAAATTCTTAGACTGTAATGCTTTGAGTGTACTCTTTTTTTCAGTAAGTATGAAATCTTATGCAACTGTAAAGGGGAAAAAAGGAGACGTAATTCTGGTTCTGTTTTTATTTGCTCTGCCCTGTCCATCAGTGAGTCTTAAACCTGAGCTGCTGACCATGATGACCTCTGGGACTGTCTGGCGCAAAGTGGTGAGAGGATCCAGACAAGAGTTCCCATTTGAATTGATGGCTCAGCTCTGTTCTTCTGGCAAGAGGGTGGGAGTCAGATACACAGCTTCTCTGAACTGGTCAAAAGTTGAGCATGTTTGATTCATGAATGGGCTAGCTTTCAAGATCAACTCCCAAACAAATAAACATACTTTGGAACTTGAGTTTTGAAAGATTGAGTCAGATTTGGTAAGGAAAATCATCTCACCAAGAAAGGCAGTTGAAAAATAGAGCTTGTCTAGAGTGTAGAGCTGGGGGAAACAAAACGTCCTCTCCTATTTTCAAGGTAGATGTGAGATGTTTTCTACATTACTAAGAATTGTGGGGAAAAAGTAGACCATGAATTGTCTATGGACGAGAATATTTTGACATTCGGTTCTCATCAGATTTTGCAGCAGAATTAACACTACCATCTAGCAGTCTGTCTTTCATTTATCAGAAATCATCAAAACAGCATATCTAAAAAGATACCGGAGGAAATTTCATCTCATGGAGGAAATTTCATCTCAAAAGCCCACCTGAGAGGAGAAACCCACCTTCCTGATTGTCTTTTGACAAGAGTGGAATGTCTATTTTTCCCATGCTCTGAGACTCTATGGAAAGGCTGAGCAAACTTCTCATCTAGAAGCTCGTGGCATCAAATGCCTTGTCACATCTTGTCTGGGTGAATTTGTCCTGGTGGGTTTGTGTGGACTGAGGGAACAGTTGAGATCAGCTTTTTCAGAAAGGAGTTGTTCAGATTTTTTTTTTTTCCATTTTCTGAATTCTTTTCAACTCAGTTCTGGGAGTGCCTGTTGGATGGATCTTTGCTTAATTCTTTGGGTACCAGATTTCTTTCTTTTAAAACTTTACAGAGGAGGAGGAGGAGGAGGTGGAGGAGGAGGAAAAACCTGTTGGCTTTCATCTCAGCCAAATCAAGGAGTCTATTGGTTAACAATCTAGGAGATATCCACCAGATCATTTTGCTTGTATGCTTTATTCTTACAGGAGCTCTGTGAAGATCCTCATCTGATTGTACACGGAATCAGTTCTCACGATTTACATCAAGGGAGACTTGGAAACTGCTGGTTTGTGGCTGCCTGTTCTTGCCTAGCTCTTCAGAAGAATCTCTGGCAAAAGGTATTCCTCCAGAACCATGAATGATGCACTCCTTGGTTAAAATTTAAACATGGTATTCCAAGTCACACCACTTTGGGATGGTGGCTTCAGGCATGCCCCAGAACCTTTGCATCCCAACAAGTTGCACCTTTCCCAGCTGTTGCTGCTGGTTTAAGTAAAGGAATGGTTTGCATAAGGGTGGAGTAAGTTGAAAAGTGTTTGTGATGGGTCAGTTCCATTCCTGCAAATTTCACCAGTTGATTCAGGAGAATCCAGGTCTTTCTGATTTCCCCCCCCAGAAAACTATGAATCGTTTTGTAGTTAATCCAAGGAGGAATATGGAGAATTTACCCATTTCTACCTTTAATGAATAACCTTAATATAGGTTTATTCGAGAGGGATGTTAATCCCCTTTCATTACTATTCAATTATCAGTTACAATTTTCACTTATATGTATGGATTTCCTTCCTGAAACAAGCAAATTGATCTGGCTCCTCAATGAATGTTTTCTGTCCTATGTTTGCTGTACTTTATTTTCAGTTTCTTTGCACACTGTAGGTGATCCCAAATATCAAGGAACAGGAATGGGACCAAAAAAGGCCAGACAAATATGCTGGAATATTTCATTTCCGTTTCTGGTGCCTCGGAGAATGGATCGATGTGGTCATAGATGATCGGTTGCCAACTATCAACAATAAACTGCTTTACTGCTCTTCTAAGGACCGCAATGAATTCTGGAGTGCACTTCTGGAGAAAGCTTATGCGAAGTATGTGGTGATTAACATAGTGTAATTGCAGTTCTAGCAGCCACACAAATAAGATCTTCTTAATATTGGAATATTCTTAGGGACTGCTGTCCTCTAGAAAAATCTTGTAATGTGTTCATACAACCCCTTCCCTATTTCAGATCCATTCCAGTATAAGGAGCATACAGGTAGTCCTTGCTTGACAACTACAATAGGGACCAGAAAATTCATCATTAAGCAATGCAGTCGTTAAGCGAGGCATCATGTGAGCATGCCCAATTTTGCAACATTTTTTGCAGTGGTCATTAAGCAAATCACTGTGGTCATTAAGTGAATCACGTGATCTTTAAGTGAATCATGCAGTTCCCCATTGATTTTACTTGCTGGAAGCCGGCTGGGAAGGTCACAAATGGTGATTATGTGACCCTGGGATGCTGCAATCATCGTCAGTACAAGGACCAGTCGTAAGTCACTTTTTTTCAGCATCATCACAACTTCAAACGGTCACTAAACAAATGGTTGTTAAGCAAGAACTACCTGTAGTGTTGTAGAAGTGGCAGAAGATTACTGGATTAGAAGAGGGTCAGTACTTCTGGCAAAGTTAACAAATAGCTTTTCTGCTATTGTGTTATATTTCCATGGGAATTCATTATTACAGGATCTTCCTTCACTGTGCAAATCTAGACATGTCTACTTGGAAGGAGAACAACTCACTTGCTGAATGAAACATACTTATCAGTGAAAGGATTGTACAGTCTTTCCAGTTCTGGTACTGAAGGCAAATTCATAGGCCCAAAATGTGTCCTAGAATAGGCTGTGCTTCCATTCTAAGTGCATGTTCTTTTTTCCTGGATCTTGATGATGGATCTTGAGGTTTTAATCAAAAATAAAGTAGATCCCACAAGTCTCAAATCTGCCTTTCTCCAATATCAGCATTGCTATACAGTGAGGACGAATAAAAGACTGACATTTTTAGCTGGGACTAAGAGAGATACAGATGCAGAAGAATTGAACCAGAATAGGACCGGGTTTCTTCTATTTAGAATACATGCCAAAAAAGGGCACACAATCGCTTTTAAAATGATCCTGAGGGGAAGCTGTGATGAGCTGGGTGGCCTCCTGCAATCATACATGGTTGCAGAAATTCTAGCGGTTGCCATCCCAACATATCTGTAGGCACCAAGGTGAGGAAGGCCAGCCTAAATGTCAGAAGACAGCTATTCCAGCAGACGTAGCATTGCTGCGATGCAGTACATTGCCAGTCAGAGTTGCCAAGGCAACAGATCGCCCGTGACATAGAAAGCAAACCCCAGAACCCAAATGATTGTGGAATTCTCTGAATCCTACCCCACGTGGTCTTTTCATTCCTGCAAAGTTAGAGAAAGTGGCGACGAAGGTAGCCCTAAAGCTTCCTCATGTCCTTCTGAAGTCCCGCCCACTTTATTTTCTCCTCTGTTACGCGTGAACACTTGGAGAGTCGAAGAAGGCCAGAGGTAGCGATAGGAAAACATATAGCAAAATCTCGTTCTTTGCGTGTCTGAAAACCTGTGTCATGTCCTCGCTAGGATGGCAGGCTGTTACGAAGCCCTGGATGACGGCAGCACAGCCGAGGCCATTGTCGACTTTACGGGAGCCATGGCAGAATCCATCAACCTGGCTGATGGCAATTATGACTACAATATCATCGAGCAGGCGAAACTCTTTGCAGACTTGCTGAAAGTTCATAAAAGGGGAGGCTTAATCAGCTGCTACATCATGGTAAGTGCACAGACAGCAGGCTGCAGTGAGTCTTGTGGTCTGTCTTTGGTTCAGCCCCATGAGGTAGACCAGACCAGGAAGTCAACTCCACAGGAAAGCTAAAACTATCTTTATTGAGACGGGCTCTAAGAACAGAAGATCTTGGAAGTCTGACCATACTGTGTACCTTCTCCCCTTCTTATACTCCAGTGAACTAGGGAGGCGTCAGCTCAGATAACTTCTGAATGTTATCTCATTTCTCTGGACGTAAACATGTTTCAGCCCCTTTGGCCTGACTATCTCCATCACAGTCATCTTCCTTACTCTCTCCATAAACTCAAGAAAAGAGGCAAGGTGATTGAGGGCAACCTGGTTCATGCTGCCAAGTAATCTCTGGCTTTGCCAGAAGGATGCAATGCCCATATAAGAAGCTCAGTTAGCAAATAAGCTTCTATGATAGCATCCAGAAATCCACCAAGCCATAGGCCTCCATTCTCAAAAGACAAATGCATGCCTGCACATACATGCATCCAGGGGCATCTGCAGGATCTGAGACTTCTATCAAAAAGCTGAAAGTGTTAGACCAGTGTTTCTCAACCTTGGCAGCTGTGAGATGTGTGGACTTCAACTCCCAGAACTCCCCATGGGAGTTGAAGTCCACACATCTTACAGCTGCCAAGGTTGAGAAACACTGTGTCAGAGCATTGCGATGCAAGTTCTGCCCTTTGAGCATCACAGTGCAAGTACAAAAACAGCAAAGCTTGCATCATGTCAATGCATTTCTGCTTTCATCATCTGCTCCCCCTTGATCCCCCCATGGACACTACTTCATGCATTCATTCCAACAGTAGCTCAGTTTATGTCTAAGCCAGTCCCAGTCCACCCCATTTTCCAGTATCAAATCCATCCAGTCTAGCAAAATTAGCTCCCCATCCCTCCCATTAAAAACACAGTGATTTAGGAATGAAGCATCATTGTGTGCATTGGGGGTGCCAGAGAGAGAGGGAGAGGGAAAGTGGAGAAGGAGGGAGAGAGGGTTTTTCCCTTCCATTTCAGCCCCTCTCCTTGAAGATTGCATAATAATGCTTAGACCCAAAACCCAGGGGAGAATACAGTTTTCTCAAAGGTTTTTGCCTCTACAATAAAGAAAAGCGTTGCTGATCTGGGAGAGGGTTTGAGTGTGAAGAGTTAGCTATTTCTGCTCTTCAGTAGAACCACTGTCCCTCCCTCTGGCCTGGGCAGAGAAATGCTCCTTCATCGTTTTCTTGCCAGTTCAGTTGGATGACAGAATTTGGCTTAGACAATTCTTTCCAAGGAGAAGAGAATTTCTGTAAAATTCTTATGGGCAGAGCATGGAGATCTTGCACCTTTTTAGGGACAAAGTGTCCGAGGGCTTTGTGCAAATGGCCTGCCTTTCCATTACTCTCCAGCTGTGACTTCTCCAGTTGAGCTTTTTCAGAGCAGTATTACCTTCAGCCCTAAAGTGCAGCCCTGTCCTGGAAAGTTTCTAGGAATTTCTCTTTCCTCTGAAGAAATTGAGACAAATCATTTATCCAATTTTCTCCACAATTCTAATTTGTGGAGAACCTCAAAATTGCTAGTCATAAATAACTTAATTCCCCCCACCTCGTTCCAAACTTCCTTCTTCGGTGCCCCAAAATTCCCTGGAAAGGGATTCAAGAGAGATTCTAGGTGGCCATCTGTCCTTCTCCACTACGCATAGTCAGAAGATTCTGAAGGAATATAAACCTGAAAGAGACGACAGGGAGGCTACAGTGATCTGACTGATGATATTGTGATCAGTTGAGAATGCACCACAAAACATCTCCAAATCTCCCACAGGAGTTGTTTTGTAGACATACTGGGATTTTTCTGGAGACAAATCCTTGTCAGAAGGATCTGAGGGGAAAAGAAATTTGGAAACCACCAGTGCAGCCACCATGTCTCCTGAAATGTTGTTGACCTTTGTAGAAATGGGATGTTCTATCCCTTTGGAATGGGACAAAAGATGAGTAATTCCTGGATTGGATTTTGGAGATTTTAGAGATTAAAATAAGACATTTCCAGCATCCTGTCCAAGCATGTTCCATCATCCATTCCATTTATGTTCTTGTTTACTTCCCATGTGCCTAATCAACTTCCCACACACTCATCTTTCTACATACCCTCACTGGCTGCGGGTCAATAAGCACTTAATGGTGATAGTCTCACCCTATAAAATCCAGAAGAGCAATGTTATAACAAAATACCTTAATGTGCATACAAGTCTTACCCAAAAGAGCACAACTATGGAGCTGGGGGGGGGGTGTATTTCTCTCCTTCTGACACCCTCCAGAAGAGCAATGTTATAACAAAATGAAAAGGCAGCACAAGAACCTTCTAGTTGCATCAAACTAAGGATCTCACAACAGCCAACCAGATACTCCAAGAAGCCCTATAAGCCAATTCTTACCCCAGTCCTGAAACACTGATTGCTGTCTGCAATTCAGCCATGTTAAGCAGCCTCTGAGAGCAAATATTGTTAAGTCAGGTACAATTGTGTCATGCCTAAGACAAAGTACCAAAGTTAGACATCTGGCTGAAATCAATGGGCACTGTAATCTCACTCAAAAGTTTATCTCCAAGAGAAAAGCACAAGATCTAAACAAGTCTTCAGAACACAGCATTTCTCCATGACTTTCCTAACCTCATGAGTGAAAATAAGGGTGTGGTGGAATAACATGGTTCTCCTTCTGCATTAATTCCCAAACAGAACACCTTAGGCACATGGTGGACTGCAGAACTGTAGATCAGTTGAATTGAAATTCAGGTTAATTTTGTTTATATTCATTTATTCCATGCCACCACTTCCCCCACCCCATCACTAAGAAAACTCCTATTTCTTTTGGTGTGCAATTTTCTCTAATACACACAGTTTTGTAGACATACAATTTTGTAGTGTTCTGCAAGAGATGTTTCTTTGGTACTTTCTCATGTAATACCCTATTCTGCGTAAACGTCTCTAGTAAGAACAATGGTGGATCATGTCATTTCACTCTAAAAGAAATCCATGTTGTCAGCTTCGGGCTTCTATAACCTTAAAAGAATCCACTTGTCCCCTTATGGTGCAGGATATTCTGTGAATTAGCCAACTTATTTCATACGACAAGCTTACCAGAGGATCTGAATAGCTGCTTACTACTTGTTTCAGTATGGAGATGATTTACTATCCTACTAAAGAATATTCATGAGACACAGCTCATTTGAAAGCAGAAGGGGACACCTATTTCTTCAGAGAGAATTTAACCCAAAGAATGAAAAAACACTCCCCCAAAATAAAATACGAAGATAATAGAAAGAATGATTATAAGAAGACTTTGATACTGCATACCAACATAGCAACTCTACACCTTTAAGTTTTTGTTCAAATCGCACATTAACACGCGTACAAGTCTTACCCAAAAGCGCACAGCCGTGGAGCTGGCGTGCGGTGCGTTTCTCTCCTTCTGAAACCATCCTCGAGCGTCTGCCTGAGCAGAACCTTGAGTTGACTGACATGTCTCATTGGCAAGGTCTGCGTGTACAGATAACTGGCAGGATATTTACCCATAAGAGGTGTGTTTGTTTCTTTATTAAATTTCTCCCCCGCCCGTCTCCCCCCAATGGGGGAACTCTGGGCAACTCACACAGAACATCCTAGAGCAGTGTTGTCCAAACTTGGCCACTTTAAGATGAGGGGACTCCACCCCCCAGAATTCCCCAGCCTGGAGCCTACCAGAGCCAGTAGACAGGGCATGTTACA